CCGTTCCCCTCGATGCTCATATTGGGTATCAAATAGCAAATCAAATGCGTATGTACTCAGCCTTCTGGAAAAGTATTTAATGTTTACTAAAGCATAATAGAAGAAATGTAGGCCAATTGCACAAAGAACAAATATTATGAAGCGCATAGAAAGAGCAACACAGATACTTCCCAGGTAATAGCAATTTTAAAAAAAAGAATCAAAACCCACAAAGAGAAATATAGAAACTGTGTTTTAAATAGGGGCATAGTAAAAAATCTTGGTTAAAGTAAATTGACTCCTACAGAGTACGTGTCAAATGTACCCTCCCAGCCCCTTCCACACAATTGCTTAATTTCTTCTCCTTCTGAAGGGTCTACAAGATTTGTCTCTCGGTCTGTTGGCCAGGAAGGACCCCTGATGTGTTTGTGCTGATGGTACTTAGTCTGGGCTTTTAAACATCTCTTAAAAGGCAATTGTTTCTGGAATGATCAGCCACATTTCCAAGCCTTAGCTTAAAAATTAGTATTTCAACCTAAAAACAGACTTCAGGATATTCTTCATGGTGCTATTTGGAGGGAATAAAAAAGTCTTCTTTATTAGTTTCCTATAATAGAAATGTAACGTAAAGCAGCCTATAATGTAAAGCAGCTCGTCTTCCAGCTTCATAACCAGCAGACTATCTCTCTGCAGTCATTATCAGGAAAAGAGAGTTTCCCTTTCTGTATTGAAAGGGAAAATCCAATTGCTGAGGCCCCCATCCGCACTCACATGTAATGATAGACATATTCAGGCATCATTTACTCTGGCGTGCATTTGCCACAGAAATATTAGGGACCTCTACAGCATTTCCATGGAAAGCTGTCTTTCGTCAATTCCTAGTCTTAGAGAGGAATGATTTAAGTGTGCAGTAGGATGAAACTTTTACTCTGTCTAAATGTTTAATCAGGATAACAACCCAGTCTGTTTTGCATTGTCTGCTCTTAAGTAGTACATGTTCAAAGAAAGCTGGCGGCAATATTGAATATTGAGATAGTATTGGAGACTTAGAAATTTTATGTTAATAATTTTACCCCCAAACACTGATACACATTTAATACATTTGGTAAAAGGCAAATTTATATATGGAAATCCAGAAGTAAACTGGTATTGCGCTACATGTCTTCACTCCGTGGATGTGTCCACACTGTAGAGCAGTCAAAGTTAAATCTCAGCTAAAAGCACCGATTTTCTATGACAGAGGGATTCAAAAGGCATTCACCCATCAAAGTGTTCCTGTTCCTCTCGTCCTAGAGAATGCCAACTCACCTGGTTTGGTGAAACAGACTATCCAGAGAATTTGGGGATCATTTTAGTTGTTACCATGAAGTATGAGATGGATGGCTGGAGTTGTTCCACTGTCAGTAGAAGGAAGCTGTATCTTGTAAAGAGGACAGACAGTGAATACTCCTACTAAAGGAAAATCTCTGACAGAAAAGGTTTTATAATTCACAGCTCGGTGTTTCCCTGATAGGGAGCAACTGTACAGGCAACTGTGAAGTAGTTTGTTGCATGAAAATCTTGTTCAACATTCCAGGAAATTCTCCGCTGGAATGGACAATGATATATATCCCTTAGTCTGGCGAGAGAGATTAGAAGCTTGCTGTAATTAAAGGTAACACAAAGCACCATCTGGAGTAATTAATTTTAAATATCAGATCTAATTATCTTTGAGGAAAACTTTTGTGCAGTTTGTTCAAGAAAAAATCCGAGCATTTCAGGGATGATGTGCGTGTAATTAAGCACATTTTAACTTACCTAAAATGATAAGCAGAGTCATTATTCAAATCTTTATGAAGTTTGCAAAGTGGGTTTTTGTAACTGTGCACTGCTTGATTACGGTACAGTCTATGCACTCAACTTTATAGTGTTCCATTCGTAGTGTAATGAAATCTCGTAACGCTTTTATCTGAAATCAAAGGGAATAAGTGTCCTTTTTGACTAAGTATTTCTTATCTGTACCATACTTTGCTGGGATGGAGAAAAAGTACAGCTGGCGCTCTCCTGTTCTTTTATGGAGGAATAATCTGAAGGCCTACATGTGAAAGCATTTCATCCCTAGCAGAAAAGAGGAGAGCTGACATTACAAAGCATGTTAAAAAATCCCTCTATTTTCCTTTAAAAAAGTAATCTGAAAACCATAAATATGTGTACTTGACAATATCTCTCTTCAAGCTGAAAATAAGACACAAAATTTGAAAATGACAAGTAAATTCAGCTAGCTAAAATAAGAGCCGAAAGAACTTTTCTCCACTTCCTTGTTTTTTTCTGAAGATGTTGAAAAGACTCCTGCTGAAATATTAAGCTCTGTGAGGTTCTGTTTTTTAGGTAATTGCTAAAATCTCCCAGGGTTTTTGGCATCCATGTAAAACACTTTATTTAAATAGAGAATACTGGTAGAGCTACTCTTATTTCATGAACATCCCGTATCTGAAAACATTCAGCATTTGATTAGATAATAATTCAGTAGTTTATCATCAAAAAAGGTGATGCTCTTGCCCAGGGAAGAATTTGATAAACTTTATTGTGATTTAAAGGTGTAATTTAAGGTCATATTAGCTAACCCAGGAAAACAAAACATTTTCAAAACTCTAATCCAGGTAAAGCATTACTATGATCAAAGGCACTTTCTTTTTTTTTTTTTTTTTTTTTTAATAAAGTCTAAAAAAGGTCATATTAAACTTGTTAGTGTTGTTTCCAGCAGACCTTTAAAACCTGGTTTGGATAGAAAAGCAGACAACGTGATACTCTCTATTGAGCCTATTTGTAAGCTCTGTATAGCTTCTAAAGTGTCCAGACACAACAGGATTTTCAGAGGTGGCCTTTTGCTTCAGTCTGTATAACTGATGTTTGATTGGTTCAGCTGCTCAAAAGGAAGATAGAAAAAAGTACAATCCACATCACAGTTACAAACTGATAAAAGTTCATTAAAACATAAATTAAATTCTTTTTCATAAGTTGCCTGGTAGGAATTAGGGAAAATAAGAATTATTTAGAGCAGTTTAAGGATGTACAATTAGAATGCCAAAATTTGATGTGAATTTGGGTTGAATTTATCAAGTTCCTTTTTTGGGAGGAGAAGAGTTTGACAAGAGATTCCTAAAATTGTAGACACACAGGTGAAGCAGTGTCCCAGTAGGGGCAAAGGGTAAATCATTCCCCCCAGCTGTGGGAAATCTGAGTTATTTCTCTCCTCTGCCTCAGGAAATGTAAACCTACTTTTCCTACATGCTATTTCATAGCTTATTTACTAGATTAAAGGGGACTTTAGAGTGATAGATGTGTATTATCTGGGGTTGATACTATTTTAAGTAAACAAAAAATTACTAGTATTAATCTGGATTATAGCTTTCTTACTTCTCGAGTGAATGCCACAACCCCTACAAATAGCGTCAGTTTCTCGCTGTCTTTTGCTTGATTTCAGTGGAAATAGAAAAGAAAGTAAGGAAAGAATCCCAGGAAATACAATCATGTGATTCTTTTAAAGGTTTTTACTTAAAGATAGGTAAATAGATTTATTTTAACATACCAATTGTTTGGCAAAAATCATGTATTTAATAGGCAGTATTTGCTCTATGAAATTTTGAATTTGGATCTTGGATTAGAACAGAAATAGATAGTAAGTTGTCAGGAATCCTATTTGCAACCCCCCTTATTTTCGTAGCTGAGATAATATTTCCTTTCCTTGAGGTCTGTTTTGTTCGGCACACTGTCCAACTAGAATTTCTTAAGCTTTTGGTGAAACCCACTCATCAGTAAGGTATTTTCCACTGGACTCCAAAATTTAAATATGTGTTTTACCAAACCACTAAATTAAATTCTGTATGCCAGCAGGAAACGCGATGCAAAGCTTTCATCATTCTTTTCCCCTTTAAAAAGTTTTTACTATCCCTGCACCCTAAATTGCATTAAGAGAGTAGGTATTTGATCAAACTGCATTATGGACAGAGTTCTATTGTTCTTCATTTTTTTCCCCGTTTGCAACCAGCGAATCCACTATTCAAACTGTTGTGCAGAGTTGTTTATGTCTCATGTTGGCATCATGACAATTGAACACATCACAGGCGTGTACGAGCCAGAGCTTGGGAGTCTGGGAACAATAGTGCTCTTCTGACTGCCAGAGTCGTCCTGCTCCCTAGAAACCTCACTGCTACGCCGTGCTTTCAAGGGTGATTTAGGTTTTGAACTGTTACAACAGATGAGTTAATCTGCTCACTAAAGAGGAAGAACAGCCCCAAAGTACATTTCTATACATTAAAGAATACTATGTCTTTTTGTGTTTCAATATTATTTTGCTTTCTGTGTTAAGGTTACTACAGTCTACCATATAGGTTATGTCAGAGAAAGGGCCCGGAAAGTAAACATTAATAGAAATGTCAGTAATGTGTAGCTGTTTAAATTATCAACACCTTTGTCGACTGGCCATTCTTCCACTGTGTCCGTGTGGCTACAGTACTTGGCTAGGGCCTAGGAAATTGAAATCCTCTTCTTTGTTCTTCACCTGAGTGGTTACATATGACGCAGGGATCGCTTTTCTCTTGTTTTACAGTTTTGCAAAATTGCCTTTCAGTGTCAGTGAGGTACCAGAGGCTAAATGAATGTGAAATATGTCTGATCTTTAGATTAAAGGTGGTGGAAAATGCAAAATTATAATGATTTTATCATCACAAAATCAGCTGAAAATATATAGACCCTGAGGTATCTGAAAACCATTATTCCAACGTATTTCATTTTCTGTACATGTGAACGCTTAACTCTTAGACTTATTGTTCTCCGTTGCTCTGTACGTGAAGTCATAGGTTGGATGGAATAAAAAAGGTGCATGTGTGAGAGAGGAGGAAAGAGCAAGTGTGTAACATGTACGTGCATTTGCTGAGTTTATGAAACACAGAAGACAAGAAGCAAAATGACAGTATGAGATCATTTTGGTAGAATGTGGTTTCTCTCCTAAGCTTTTTCTTTTGTTTTGCTTTATTTTACAGTTTGCCCAGCTGGTGTCTGTCTACAAAACTTTGGGTCCAGAGAAGTTTCCTTTAATTGAGCAAACATTCTATCCAAATCACAAGGAAATGGTACGTGCAAATACCAATATTAAATTTGCTTACTGTCTGTGTAAAACAGGAACTGTAAACACACAATTAAATCCCCCCATTTACTGTCTATTTTAAAAGCCATTTTGGAAGCTTTCAGAGGGGTGAGACTGGGTGACCGCTTGAAAGCACGGTCATGGTTAACGGGAAGATTTTCAGATGTGAGGGGAGTCATTTTTCAGCCAACCAACTTCAGGTCTTAAAGAGATTAAATGCTTATAAGACACAGAACAACTATTAAAGTGCAAGAGTTACTTTTATGGTTTGTTTTCAGCCTAGTCCTTTATGATGTTCCAAGTGTTCAGTATCTGTGTAGATGATGCGCAAGGCTATGTGCCTGACAGTGCAGAACTGTGAACTCCTCTGAGATCAGAGTGGTTATGACTTGCGATCTTTGTGTACCTGTGCTGACATTGATTCCCAGTCCTTTACAGACATAAATGCATTCATAAAAATAACACTTAGGACCTTTACTTACGACATGTCTTACGCTGCAGGCATTTTTTTCTTACTTCTCATATGGTTTCTGAACAGAAATTCTTTCCTGGGTATGTTTTTCTAGAGGAAATACTTTCGGCACTGAGAGGAGCTGGAGGGCGGCTGTTTGCTGATTGAGTAGACTGGCAGAGAGACATCAATTATTTTTAGAATGTAACCCATTCGGCGTATGTCACACAGCTGTGATTCAAGTGCCATTGCAAGGTCATGGTGAATGTATGAGTTAGCTGTTTATGTAATGTCCCCAAGCCGTAATTGCTGGGTCTGTCTTGAGACTCTGGCTAGCACTTCGTTACCATAGGGGCCATCTAAGATAAGCCTCAGTGACAGCAGTTGACTAAGATTTCTTCTGAAGTTGTCTTTCTCCCACATCTCTCTCATCTTTTGGTGACAAAAGCAACATGGTGCAGTTCTGCTGTGCGTTTTGATGTGTTGCACAAGTGGCAGGATGGCTCTTCATACTGCTTTGCCACTTCTCTCAGGTTTCTTTGGATTATTAACTCACAGATGTTTCCACTTCTTTTGTCACATACGACACTTCTGAAAAGAGCTTTCACCACAGAGCTTTTTCTGTCTTTAGTAAATTTGCTACACAGAAGTTTTGTAGAGCCAAAGGAGAATGGTACTGTTTGGGAGCAGCAGATCTAAATATTGTGCCAGACGGTCAAATCTTTTCAGAATGAAAGGGGGTTTTGTTGATGGCCTTGTCAGGAAAATGTACAACTTTATAAAATTTTATTTTATTTTTTTATGCGGAGGAAGTGCATCCCACTTGGGGATTCATTCGTAACAGGTGGAGAAGTAGAACCACATCTCCTGTTTTGCAATATGCTTTTTAAAATGGTAATAAGTTTTATATCTCTATTTTCCTGAGACTGTCCAAGATTGAAGCTGGTTTATAATTTCCTGCACACAATTTATGATTCTTTCTTCATTATTTTATCAGCTATTATTCAGGCTCCCCAGGGAAGCGGTCACAGCTCCAAGCCTGTCAGAGTTCAAGGAGGGTCTGGACAACCCTCTTACTCATAGGGTTTAGTTTTAGGTAGTGCTGTGAGGAGCAGGGAGTTGGACTTGATGATCCATATGGCTCCCTTCCAACTGGAGATATTCTGCGATGCTATGATTTTATTGAAAAGGAGGCCTTTTAACGCATTGCTAAATTGCAGCATATAGAAACAGAGACAATATCCTGTAATTCTGGGACAAGAATTAATGTGTTAGCTTTTAATTTTTACATAGTACGACTCTGTAGATGGTCTACCAGTTGAGTTGCAAACTGCTGTCTTGAACAACTGATTGAATTCATATTCAGTAACAGAACACAAACAAGAAAATGTGTGCGTGTACTTATAAGGCATATTCTGCTTAAAAGGATAACAAATACTTGAGTATTTTTCCCCCTTTGTTCCTCTACATTGCTCATTAATGTCTGAACTGAGAAGTTATTTGTCTTTTGTTTGAACTTTTGCATGTTAATGTTCTCCACAGCTGAGTAATTTTTTACACGTTTATACGTAATGAAAGTTAATCTGGAGAAAATGAATGCATTTCAGTATTGCATTGCCGTGCATGGTTTAGAGGTGCTGTAATAACTGATTGTGACGAAGCTCACTTATTTGTTTTTTCCTTCTGAAGAAATTATTTGGAACTTTGTGGCTTGAAAAATAATCAGGCAACTTGGTACAAGATAACCTTTTATTCCAGTTCCTAAAATGGGTTGTAAGATGAGCTGAATATCAGAGTCTTCTAGTTGATGAATTGAAATCATGTGATACTATTTATATTTTTTATTTTTTTAACACTGTTCATTAATAGCTGGCCTCATTTGCATTTACTTTTACAGAATTTGGTATTTACAGTTTAAAATAATTTTTGTAGTTCCTTTCGTGTTCTTCCCTTCTTATTCTCCAAATCATGACCTAGAGGTCTCTCCCTCTCCTCCTGTGCAAACCAGTTGGGGTGGGGGGGAGTGGGGGAAACTCCAAATCTCTGTGCATTGAGTTTTCAGCTGAGTGTGCCAGAGGTACGGTTGTGCTTCTGTTTCTTTGGCTTCTTTCATACTATGGTGATCATTTGTACTGAGTCTTTAGACAGTAATAAAAGGTAAATAAACAAAGATGCCATTTTTTTTGTGTAAAAATGGAGCTGTTTTAATGAAACACTTTTTGAAACAGAAACATTCATCTCAGACTGATTAAAACTATACAAAACGCTGTGAGGCTTTTTGAACTCATTGCTAGTTGAGTCATATCTACAGCCTTTCCCTCAGTAATTAGTCCCCTTTATTTCACTACATTCACACCTCTTATGTTCTCCGTCATGAAGAAAAACCCCACAGCTTTTTCAACATAATTGTTGAACACTATAATTAAAATGTAGCTGGAACTTTGAGAAAAAGCCAGCAATGTTCAGGGTTTGTTTTTTTTCCACCGTTCACCCGTACAGTCTCCCTTCTCTGTTCTTTTCCGTACTAAGTCATGTGAGTCATTTTCAAATTAAAATCAAATGTTGTACCAGGCTATATTTCTGCTCTAACCTGTCATTTAGCACATACACAGTTTCAAGAAGTAAAAAGAAAATGTTGTAAAAATAATCTACTGCTGATAATATATCAATGCCGCTAAGTAAAAATCTTGATAGGAAAATAACGTATTCGGAATGCCGCATTGTAGTTAATCCTTTTCATAATCTTTATCAGTGCTGAATCTCAGGGAAAATAAAAACTCATTCTGAGAGGGATTTTTGTAAAGCTTTTCTTCTTATATTTATTGATATGAGGAAAAAAAATAATCTTTGTACCATCCATTGTGGGAACTTTGGCCAGATTTATGCTCAGACAGAAATCAAAGTGGATGGCCCTTAATTTTGAAACACCCCATGTGGGATGTTTTATGGCAGGTCAAATATAAAATGTTTTTAAAACTAATTCATATTACCATTTGTTCATAAATACCAAAGAAAACATTTATTTTTACAGGGTTCATGGAGAAGGCAGTCTGAGTTGGGTTGGTTGAGTTTAAGGTCTAATTTACTATAAAACTGAAACAGACACAGAACTATGTTGAGTTAAAAAGCAGAAAATATCTGTTTGCTGCACAGTGCTATTCAAAAGACACCATTACATCAAAATGGATTTGGAAACAAATGCTACACTGTACATGTATTGAATATTAATTACCCATGTGCCTGGTTCAGACTTTGTATGGTTATTAAGCTCTTGCAGGCTTGTCTGGGAATTGTTTTGGTTTGATTTGAGGAAATAAGGCTTTTTTTTTTTTAAGTCTTTCTGTAAATTAATATAAATGCACAGCGGTGACAGTAGATAGCACTGTCAATATTGTCTCTGCAATATCAATTTCTTTTTGGAAGCAATCTAGCCTTTTTATTTCATTTATGGAAGTAGCTGTAATAAGTCTATGGCCAAATTAGTGTTAGGTAGTTTTTTGTTTGTCTTTAGCAAAGCAGAAAACAAACTAGGCTTTACATTTGGCAGCACAAATAATGGTGTTTTAATTTAGGAGTGTAAATTAAAACAACAAAACTGATTTACAGTAAATAAAAAGTGAAACATTGACTGTTAAGGGATATATATTCCTCAAAGGGATAACGGCGTGCCTTCCTGTTGGCCTTGCACCATTTGCACTCCATTGGAATAGTACAAGTTTAGCCGTAAAAAAAGTAAGTAAGAATATTTATTCTCCCAAGAGTGTTTTCAAACCTGTCCTTTAAATATGGATTCATGCAATTGTTAAAGTAAACATTAGAAACAGGAACAGAATATGTCACAAAAATCATTTATACAGGGTTTTTTTTCAAGTATACATTATGTTTCCAATACGACATATCTCAGGGGGTGACAAGATACATGGGACATGCTGAATTTTATGTCCAAACTACTACTTCACCAAATTGAATGGAATTAGAGATGCCTATACACTTAAAGATACGCATATTTTCTTTGCAAGTTGAAGTCCCAATGGTTTTAGAAGGACTCTGTAGCAAACAGATTAAAGGAACTTTTGTAAAAGTGGCCCCTTGAACCAAGAGGCAGTGACAGCTGTGGTCACTGATGAGCCCGTAGGCTGCAAGCATCACACTCCGGCTAGCAGGCATGAGTAAAGCGTTGGTGGTCAACCTTGAAATGGACCTGATTGACCCAAATGAGAACAGAACTGTCTAAGTCTCTGCCTGTTGTTCTAAATTCTTGTATGAGGAATACATGAGAGTAATTCCTAGCCAAAATTGGAATGAAGTGATGGAAACCCAATGAGAAAATTGGAGAGAGTAAAATATGTCAGAAATGGCAGCTATTAGAGATTCATCTCCTGCGTGACGGTTCTCATCCAGTTTCTAGAACGTAAGCATTTGGACAACTGTCTAAACTTTGGCATTTACTGAAATAATTTCTGAAGTTTTACCACTGTGAACTGAATTCCTTTTGTAAACTTAAATATGTGTGAGATTAGTTACTAGCTACAGTA